TCATAGACCTCTCCAGCATCATAATCGTACTCATCCTCCACAATCATATTATGGAGGATGATGCAAGTCATCATAATGCTTCGGAGGACCTCCTCATCAAACATACGGGCCGCACCTCGAACAATCAACCATCGAGCTTGAAGGATGCCAAAACACCTTTCGACATCTTTCCTGTATCCTTCTTGATAGGTAGCAAATAATTTTTGCTTATGGGATCGGGGATTCGGAATGGATTTGACAAATGTGGTCCACCTTGGGTAGATACCGTCAGCTAGATAATACCCCGTCTGGTAGACTGTATTGTTGACTTGATAGGTAATATTGGGGCCTTGGCCGCTCAAAACTTCGTTGAAGACCGGAGATTGACCCAGGACATTGAGGTCATTTTGGGCTCCGGCAACTCCGAAGAAAGCATGCCAAACCCATGTGTCGAACCCAGCAACGGCTTCCAGGATGATACTTTTTGTGCCTTTTCTATTTCCGTAATCACCTTGCCAGGCAGTTGGGCAATTCTTCCATTGCCAATGCATGCAGTCGATGCTACCAATCATTCCTGGAAATCCTCGAGCTTCGGCTTTTTGTAGAAGCCGTTGGAGGTCCCTGGGAGTAGGTCTACGCAGGTAGTCCCTAGTGTACAGGTTTTCAACTGCATCACAAAATCTTACCAAAGCCTCCAACGTAGTGGACTTCCCCATTCGGGCAACCTCATCCACCTGATCAGCAGATGCTCCATACGCCAACATTCGTATAACAGCTGTAAGCTTTTGCTCCGGAAGAAGGCCCAAAACCCCAGTAGCATCACACTTTTGAACAAAGTATGCATCATAATTGCAAATATCATGCATGACTTTATTGAACAAATGAGGTTGCATTCTAAATCGCCTTCGAAAATCAACATCAGAGTACAAAGCAGTTGGGATAAAATAATCTTCCAAAAGATTCTTACCCCGAGAATGCCTATGTCTGTCCACATTCCGGCGACGGCCGACTTGTGAACCACGGCGGCGACCTTGGTTCTCTTCCTCTTCCATTGCCACTGCTATGAGAACTTGCTCATCGACTTGCCTCTGCAACTCATTCATTTCATCGGCTCTACGGTTTCTCTCCTTTCTTTCTCTCTCGTGCCTCTCCAAGCATCTCCTATATTCTTCCATTGAGAATGAATGGAGTATGAATTCTAAACTCTAAGAAATGAAAATATTGAAAGATGTGGTGTGAGAGGTATGATGTGAGCCTCTGGTTTTATAGAAAAATTTGGCAAGATAGAGATGCCACGTGGCTTGATTTGATTGGATGAAAATCTTATCTGAAATTTGAAATTCATCCGAAATTTGAACCCAAATTTATCTGAAATTTGAATTTTGAAATTCATCCGAAATTTGAACCCAAATTCATCTGAATTTTGAATTTTGAAATTCATCCGAAATTTGAATTTTGAAATTCATTCGAAATTTGAACCAAAAAATTTATCTGAAATTTGAATTTTGAAATTCATCCGAAATTTGAACCCAAAAATCTTATCCCGAAATTTTATCCGATTATGAATAGTGTTGACACGTAGGAACCCGTAAATCTTATCTGAAAATATTATCCAAATTAATTATTGAGGTAAAAAAAATTGTGAATAAAACAAAAAAATGAATAGTAACTGCCCTTAGCTAGGGCAATGGGTGGAAACACAAAATTCTGATTTTGCAAGGGCAACCACTATTCACGTGAATAGTGGCTGCCCTAGCTCCCCCCCTTGCCATGGCTAAGGGCAAATGGGTGGAGTTGCTCTTATCGCCAGTTAAAAGTGCAGAAATGAGGTCTCCCACTAATCTGTCTATGTCAGTTAGTGATGACCAAACATTTTTCATAATCTTCTTGCGTTGGTGGCTTCCATGTTGGCGGTGCTGGAATTTGTGGTGGCAGCTGCGCGGCTGGTGCCGGTGGTGGCGGTGGCGTCAAAGGCGGCCCAAGGTAGAACCAAAGTTGTGAGACTGCCTTCGGATGTGCCTCATGATCAACATTAAGGTTATGTCTCCCTAACCCTAACCCTACATTGAACAGCAATGCCGAGCACACAATGGTGAAGTCCAATTTTATTTTTCTTGTTCTAGTGCTGTGTTTATGAAGTCTTTGCAAAGTTATGTTGAAATTGAATGATGTTCATGACATCATAAGACCAACGAAATTTGGGAGTCCCATGGTACCGAGACTCACACTTCTTATTCCATGTCTACAACATTTACATTATGATATGATTAGTTTGTGATTTTAGAGTGCTGGTGCAATTTAAGTGTGTCAAGTTTTCTAAAGTTCAGCTCTTTATATCAGTATGGTTAGTTGTCAAAAGTCATCTATAATTTCATATAACTCAGTGATCACTGTTGATTATTCAATATGATACTTTTTGTTTGATGAATTGGCTACACTCATGTGGGAGAATGTAAGTTTTTCCATATATTTTGTGAGTTTGCCTTTTTATTATTATGAGGTGTCATATAAATAATAAATAGAGTTATATTTAAATTAAGATATTATGAGAATTTTATTCAGATAATGATTAAATGGAATAACTGTTATAGGAGGTGGATATTATCCATTATCTCCACGTTTTGGCTAGCAGTTGTCTCTTAATAGGAGAGTTAGTTGTAAAGCAACTTGGATAAAAGGCTTGGTCTCTGCTCTCATATTTACACGTTCATATTTTGTATGCTTGTCCTATTGAGAGCCTTGACATTTTGGAATATTGAGAGGAGAAGATCATCTTGTATATCTGATTATGACTCATTCAAGTAATCTTATCTCTACTTGTTCTATTGTTTAATTGTCAAATTTGGGTTAAGGTGTGGTTTAAGTGCTAAATTGGTTCAAGATTATTTTGAATACAGTAAAGCTTACATATGTCTCCCTAACCCTAACCCTACATTGAACAGCAATGCCGAGCACACAAAAAGCAACACAACGGGAATTGAAATCTTCTTATCAATGATATTATTCTCCCTCTCTCTCTGATTGAGTATGCTCAATTCAATTGCTTATGCATGTTACTCTCGTAGGGAAGGCTTTTTATAGTTTATCAAGTAGAGTTGGACTGGTTTACAACCTAAGCTTGCATTTTTATGTAAAACACTCAAAACACTTATCAAATTAGTACTTCATTTTAATCGTACTTCCACTCCAAACTCATCAAAATGGCAAAGTGGTTTTTAATACGTAACCAATATTTCGTGATTAAAAGTTGAAACAAACTAGATTAGCACTAATTGGTTTATTAATGTTGAACTTCTCGATGATTCCATTTCTTCGCATATACAATATAATTAAAACCAAACTCTCTTACAACCTTATAAAAAACAAATCAACCTTTTGATATGCATGACTAAACTTCCAGATGTGGATGTGGATCCATATAAGCCAACCAAAATCGGTAGTTTCTATTTGCAGAAAAAGTAAACGTATGATTTTGTGTCACCAAATTATTGATTATGGTAGTTAGCATCACTAAATTATTGATGCTTCAGTAAATCATTATCTTAATAGATGCAGTGGATTTGTCATTGTCACTAATGGATCCAAATTACTTATATTTTATTCGATGGCGTCCAAATAAACAACTGTGTGTTAGTAGTTTCTTGATATCCCTATTTTATAATTCCAACATCAACTTCCAGATGTATATATAATAATAAAACTAAAAAAACAAAATTCAAACAATTATATAATTATATTCCATTGTTGAGAACTAAACAAGCTTAGTTCATGACCTAATCAAGCTAATTAGCATTTTAAAAAAGCTAACAACTCCTTTAATTAAGATACTTCCCGAGGCAGTGACTCATTAGTCTTTTTAAAAAGCCTGTCCCTTTGCTATAAGAAACAATAACAGTGACTCTGTGACACAGGTTGCACAATAATTTTAGGTAAAAAAATTGGGATTACCTTTTTTCAATACAAATTTATAAATAAACCCAATCCTAGACATGTATTTATAAAAAAACTCAAACACTATTTAAATATAGAAACACACCCAAAATCAACCCCAAAATCAACAATTGTATATTTTTTTGGTGTGTTTATAAATGGGTTTTGAGTGTGTGTAATGATGGGTTTTGGGTGTGTTTATAAAGTGTTTTGGGTGTTGGGTTTTTTTATAATTTCAACCCTCATTTTGGGTGTTTTAGTGAAACTCCCTTTTTTCAATTGCCTCATAGGCTGTCCGCACTTACTTTTTGCGTTCCATTTTCTTCTCCGGCATATTATTATGTGTTACGGTAATATCATGTGGCATATGTTATGTGTCGTTAGTAGTTCATTCAAATTATAACATTTGTAAAATTGAAGAATTGCATGCGTACTTATTACTAAATCTTTTGCTATAAACTCTAAAACTATACGTGTGTTATAGTATAGGTTTATGAAAAAATCTGATGTCTCACGAGGAGTATATTTCTTTGTCCACAACACTTATTATGTGACAAGTGCTATAAACAAAGGAATATATCCCAGATTGCAAGTAAGATTCCCTCATAGACATGTGCGATATTGTCAAAAATGTATCGATAACATATCGATATATTTTGTTGCCGAAAATAATATTGACACATTATAAATATATATCAACAATTTTTAATATAAAAAAAAAAAAAAAAAAAAAAAAAGATGTCTAAACTATAGCCGGACTACTCTAATGAATTCATAATTCCATACATGTCACGCCATGTTACCGCCACCACACCTAATTAGTAATAAAAATAAAGAATAAAGAAAAGAACAAACAAGTTCCAAGTTGAACAGAAGATTATTCCCCGGAATACTTTATCTACTATATTCACTCTCTGGTCTCAACTGCAAGTTGTAAAAAAAACTTAAAAAACAACTAATGGATTCCATGGAATCATACCGACCCTCCAGATTATTACCATTACTGAATACTTCTCTTCCTCTCAAAATCTTTGTTCCTAGGGAGACAACTTTCCCGGAAAACGAAAGAAAAATCACTGCTTTCCCAGAAAATGGTCGAGCCAGAAGAGGAAAGCCAAACTCAAGCCATTCCTCCAAAGTCAAAGAACATAGTGGACGACAGAGAAGCTGCGCTTATGGAGTTTGATCTTGACCTCGATGCTTTTTCTGACCGTCCTCAATTCAGTTCCTGTGAGTTTTTCATATTGGGTTGTGTTCTTTTGTTTTTTGCTTTTCTGGATCGATCAGTTTTCTCTGTCTTACCATTGAATTTGGTTTTTCTGAATCAGAAATCTTTTAGAAGTTTGTATGTTCACTGTGATAATCATAGAACTCAGCTGAACAAATGCTTTCCTGGGCAGTGTTCGAAAAATCGGCCTAGGCGGCTAGGCGGTCGTGTCCTTTAAATTTTTTTTATTTATATAAATAGATTTTTTTCCCTGACTTTAAACATTTATTTGGTATTGAGCAATAAAATTGTACTCTTAGAATTAAACAACAAAATAGTTAAGGGTCAAAAAGTGTTTCCTTTACTCGTTTCTCAATTCTCTGCAACTAAAGAGACTATACCCTGTTATTTTGAAAAGGTTGCATTTTTACATTCCCTGCTGGGCCAGGAATGGAATTCGGAGACCTTGGGAACTTTTGTCTTTTTGCCTTGAAATTCCTAGGAATTAAAAACAAATTTCGTTGGTTTAACATATTGCTTCAGTTAGCATTTTGCAGTTGTTGAGGTCAGTCATTTGAGTTTTCTCTCTTAAAATATCACAAAAATGCAGGTATTCCTGATCTAGAAAGGGAAATACCAAGAGAGAATGAGGACAAAAGAATGCTTACATCCCCCTCTTTAGGACTGGAACCTGTTGAATATCCCGATGCTTATTGCTTAATTAAAGAGAAGATCACTCAAGCTCTGAGACATCTCAAGGAATTGACTGACCAACATGTTCTAGCTCAGTTTTGGGCACCAGTGAAGAGTGGGGGTCGGTATGTGCTCACAACTTCTGGGCAACCCTTTGTTCTTGATCCTCATGCTAATGGACTTCATCAGTATAGGATGGTTTCTCTGATGTATATGTTTTCTGTGGATGGAGAGAGTGATGAAATGCTTGGGCTCCCTGGCCGTGTTTTCCAGCAAAAATTGCCAGAATGGACCCCAAATGTTCAGTACTACTCCATCAAAGAGTATCCACGGCTTGGTCATGCTCAACATTACAATGTTCAAGGAACCTTAGCTTTGCCCGTGTTTGAACCCTCTGGACGGACCTGTGTTGGTGTTCTTGAGCTCATAATGACTTCTCCGAAGATCAGCTATGCTTCTGAGGTTTATAAAGTTTGCAAAGCACTTGAGGTTGGTTTATTATTTTATTTTCTGAGCATATATTAGTATTACATATTGTGTCATGTTCTTATTTAAACAAGCTTAGTGTACTTAGTTGGTAAATTGATGGCTTTTGTTTTCATTTGAATACTAATACGGTTATATGAGTGAGCTTCAAACATGAAGAGGTTTGTCAGTGAAAAAATTTCATTTCTCCTGCAGGCAGTAAGTCTGAAAAGTTCAGAGATATTGGATCATACAAGCATGCAGGTGAGCTGCAATAACAATGTGTGCCTAATTTGGTATTCTTTTGGAACACTAGAAAGTAAATATGGATTTCTTCTATCATTTCCTCCTCCATTCTCACAGATATATGCTTGGCATTTGTTGTAACCAGATTCAAATATGCAATGAAGGTCGCCAAACTGCGTTGACTGAAATCTTGGAGATACTGACAGTTGTGTGTGAAACTCACAAATTACCGCTTGCTCAGACCTGGGTTCCTTGTATGCATCGCAATGTCTTGGCGTATGGTGGTGGCCTGAAGAAGAGCTGTACTAGCTTGGATGGTAGTTGCATGGAACAGGTCTGCATTTCCACAACTGATGCGGCGTTCTACATTGTCGATGCTCCTATGTGGCATTTTCGAGAGGCCTGTGTTGAGCATCACTTACAAAAGGGTCAAGGGGTTGCTGGGAGGGCATTTTTGTCCCGTAACGCATGCTTCTGCGGAGATATTACCCAGTTCTGCAAAACTGACTATCCTTTAGTACACTACGCACGCATGTTTAAGTTAACCAGCTGTTTTGCAATCTGCTTACAGAGCACTCGTACTGGAAATGATGATTACATTCTAGAATTTTTTCTTCCCCCGAGCATCACAGACAGTTATGAACAACAAACTTTGTTGGGCTCCTTATTGGCAATAATAAAGAATCATTTCCTGAGTCTCAAGGTTGCTTCTGGAATTATACTTGAAGAGGAAGGGCTTGTCGAAATGGTTCAAGCTTCTACAAACAAGGGACTTGACTCAAGACTTGAATGTATACGTATACCCCGTTAAGCGGAAGGACCACCAGGGCCTGCCTTATTACCTAATGGAGAAGAGATGGTGCAGCTAGATTCTCCTTTATTTTAAATTTTAAATTTTTGTTAAAAACAAGAGAGTTTCTTGTGTTGTTTCTTTCCAAATAAAAATTATTATGCATAATATTTGTAAATTTTTTGCTTCTTTCGTTAAGGGGGGTAAAATAACAACATGAACCCAAAACCCTAATGGAGCTCCCCAGTAAGGGATAGCAATTTTCCCCCTAGATAAGAGTCTTTGCGGGGATTTGACCCTAATTGGTCGAGTATGAAGGATAAAAAATGGGTATGGAGACGGGTACAGGGAATTTGTTGGGTATGGTGTTCGGGGAGGGAAGGGGATGATATTTGAATCCCCGATCCGAACCCTCCCCCTATATATATAGTCTCCTTCTATTGAGGGACACCCTTCAGGGTTCTCTACGATTTTTTTTTCAACGATCCAAATCATTTATTTTTTAATTCTATATTCATAGATCATCCTTGTAAAAAATTAGACAAATCGGAAACCGTTTCGATATCCAATTGTGTCCTACAAAATCAATGAACACAGTGCTTCAAGAAAGTACTAAAATTTCAATAATTCAATCGAGTGATCAAATAATATCGGATTCAAGTGATTTTTTTTGTAGATATGATCTTTAAATGAGTATTTACAAAAAAAAGACTGTTTGGATTAGTGAAATACAATCTAGAGTATGCCCTATAGGGGGTGTCCATCAAATAAACTTATTTGAAGGATCCCTCAATGGAAGCTCTATATATATATAGGTCAGAATCGGGGGACATACATAAAACCACACTTTTTTACACACATCTTCAGCCCTTAGATCTATCCCAATGTAATGGTTCAGAATTCATTTAAGATGCACTTAACTTTGCAGTTATTACTTTATTGGCAACAAACACGAACTTTTAAAACTCCTCTCTCTCTTGTTTTTAATTTTTTTTATTATAAAGTTTTTCTATTTAAACTCCGCATTTCTCTTTGTTCACCCTATATTCTAAGTTCACCCCAACTTCTAATTCACATTTTCATAATTCCTAAGAAAACCTCACTATCTTTCCAAATTACCTCTAAATACACATTCAACAAAAACAAAAACAAAAAAAACTCATCAACCTCACACCCCACACCCCGCTTTCTTGCCACTCACCACTCTAAGTTCATCTCAACCTCACATTACTTAAAGAGATAAAAACACCATTATCAAATGTAGTAGCACAATTATTTTATTATTATTGTTATTATTAAAAATTTGAGAATGAACTAGGAGGTTTTGATAGAGAAGATGAGAGTGTAGTTGGTTTCTTGGAGTGAAAGAGGATAGTAATATGACAATAGGGTGTAGATGAGTTCGTGTTTTTCTAAAACTTAATATGAAGAGTGGTGGGGTGTTTGTATATATGTACTAGGGTTAAGTATTAAGTTGGATAACCTTTTGGAAACTCTTCTTCTTCTTCTTTTTTTCCGATTATCTCTCTTCTTTAATTTGATTTCATGTCTATTTCCCAACAATTTTATTCACTCTCTTCCTCTACGACTTCATAACCCATCTCCATGTGCAGCTCTGTTCCTTCCGCAACTCCCCTCTGTGATATTCTCTTAACTTGAAGCCATGACAGTACATAAGATGCTTGGAAAATATCTTATTGCACTAATTAAGATAACTAAAGTGAGAATCTCCCTTTACATTTAGGGGATATGATTTTGGGCTACAAGTTCTCGGATTTTCATGTCTATCTAAAGTTCAACTGTTATATTTTTGTAATCTAATCTCTAGCTATAGCATATATCCCATATTGGTGCTGAAGGGGAAATATTACTATTGTTGTGATTTACAAGCTATCAATAAATTCCCCAATCTCTAGCATATATCCCAGACTTCTCTACAAGTTTAATTTGAGATCGTCCCACCCATCATATTGCCAAGTTGAAGGGGAAATATTACTACTAATCCTGATCCAATATATATATTATAGTATGTATAAATATGCTATTAAAGTGATTGTGCCGACTAAGTTTTATATTTTATATTATTATATTATATATTTATATAATTTATACGAATTTTAAGCCATACTATTTATATATTTAATTAACTTCCATTTAATATGTAAACATTCTTATATTGTCTTATACGTATATATATAATAATTATCTTGCTCTAGTTCTATTTTTTTTTTCTTTCAACAAAGTAGTTTTACATTGATTTTTTCTACTGTAATGGGGAGGGTCGGGGAACCCATTCTCCAATGAAGGTGGGGATGGGGAATCCCCGATATGAATATTGTAGGTATAAAGGTGGGGATAGGGAAAAAAGCTTAACTGGAATGGGAATGGCATACCCATCCTCGATTCGACCGATTGTCATATCCCTACCCCAGCAGATATAGATTATTTATTGTAAATAAAAACTTATGAATTAAGCTGTGATTATTTATGATAATTAACGGCAACATTTTTCCTAAATATCCTCCTTAGTGTTTCATTTTGTTTCTGTTATATTTGTCTCTTGTATATGTAATAATTTTATGCATACAAAATTATATATACCTTTTTGCATTTGTAGTACTTCTTCTTCTTCTTCTTTTTTGGGGGGAGGAAGGACTAAAAACTGCATGAGAAATTAATTGTGTAGGGCAATAACCAAAAATTGAAAACTCAACATTTAACTAATTTATTATAATAAAAAAACATAATTAAAAAGACATGTATTTAGTCATTGCAAATTGAGCAAGCTGTAAACATGCCTCTAAATCAACAAAACAAAAACAAAACCTAGCTAGATGATCTATATGATCTACGAATTGAAATAACTAATTAAGCTTTGGAAGGCGCCTTGGGTGGAGAGCTTTGATCAGCTCAAATTTGTCCAAGGGCAGGAACATAATATCTATTGTTGAACTGGTCTAACATCACGCCAAAACAATTTCGATCAATTCCATCGATGGCAGCGCAACAATCTGGTCCAATGCGACTATAATCGCCAGTTAAAAGTGGAGAAATGAGGTCTCCCACTTATCTGTCTATGTCAGTTAGTGATGACCAACATTTTTCATAATATTCTTGCGTTGGTGGCTTCCATGGCGGTGCCGGAACTTGTGGTGGCAGCTGCACGGCTGGTGCTGGTGGTGGCGGTGGCATCAAAAGTGGCCTAAGGTATAACCAAAGTCATGAGACTGCCTTCGGATGTGCCTCATGATCAACATTAGGGTTATGTCTCCCTAACGCTACATTGAACAGCAATGCCGAGCACACAAAAAGCAACACAATGGGAATTGAAATCTTCATATTGATCAATGATATTATGCTCTCAAATCAATTGCTTATGCATGTTACTCTCGTAGGGAGGGCTTTTTATAGTTTATCAAGTAGAGTTGGACTGGGTTACGACCTAAGCTTGCATTTTTATGTAAAACACTCAAACACTTATCAAATTTGTTTATACCAAAATGAACACCCAATGAACATCAACCACGTGGACTAGGCCTGGGCTACGTGTGCCTTCGGCACTCACCTTCGGTACTGTACCTACCGATCACAACATTAGGGCAACCTTGCCCACTCTGGCACGTGGCAGCTCCACGATTGACGCCCAGAGTCCCACATCGAAACTCTAAACAAATTGCACACCTCCCAAGGCCTATAAAAGAGGACACCTATCCCAGCCTGAAGGTAATCAATCAGAACTTACGGCATACTGCCTATTGATCTGCAGTTAAAACTTACTAAATCCGTACTTACTTAAGCATCGGAGAGCCTTCGGCCGGTACCACACCGGTGCCCTAGGATTTACCGTGTGTTTGCTATCTTACAGATCGCACACCCTACCGAGGACATCAGATACCGAAGAGACTTAATCACTAAGTTGTGCGGGAAAGTGCAGAACCATTTTTCTGCGTCAACAGTTTGGCGCCGTCTGTGGGAAATCGATATAATCAACCTACAATTCCTAAACAAAACAAATGGGGACCACTTCAGGACAACAGTTCCTATCAGAGGATGGATTACCGTACGGTATGCCAAGTGGAGCAAGCCCCGCGCTGCACCCTAGCACTCCCTTCGGTAATCCACCTGCGCTTCAGACCACGGTCGAAGCGGAGCTTTGGCTCAGATGACCTCCCTCCGAAAGGAGATGGCTAAACTCCAAGAACGTAACAATCTCCTCTCGTCCAAAGTGGACGAAACCCAACGGTTGCTTAATCAGCAGGAAACGCAAAACGTTCGGAGCACCGAATCTTCCCAGAGTCAGCAGACCCCCGGTCGGCAGAAGAAGGGAAAACAGGGGGCAAAGGCAACGCCTGCGCCTTCCAAGCAGCTGGTAGTCCCAGCACCCAGGACCAACCGCACGTACCGAAGAAGGTATACACCGACTGTCGTCATCGGATCAACGACAAGAAGGATGCCGAACGGCATAGGTCCCCAATCAGACTAAACGCCAACTTGAGGGACTCCCGGATGAGGGTCTTGGGGGATAAGTCGCCCCTTCGGAGGGCTCAGGGTTTGGATTCGGCGCAGGAATCCGACGATGAGTACATCCCCACCAGGGGACACCGAATCGAGCTACCGTTCGGAAGCTCCCCCGGAGTATTCGAAGGCGAGATCACCAAGTCCAAGGAAAGCTTCCGAGGACTTTGGTTCCGAGGACGTCCCCAGCCGAGACCCCACCATCCGATTACTTTTCCAAAGAATCCAGAAGATGGAGGAAGACCGAACCCGATCCCAGGTCCCTGACTGGGGAAAACTTCGACCGGGCCCTTTACCGAGCGCATCAAGAGGTCCAGACCGGACAGGGAGGTGCAGCCGCTGCGCATACCCTTCTATACCGGTGTGGAGGACCCTCTGACGCACCTCCACTCCTTCCAATCGGCAGTTGGATGTAAGGGCCTTAGCGACGAGGGACAATGTCTGCTGTTCCCCTCGTCCCTTACCGGAGCTGCGCTGAACTGGTTCTACCGTCTCGAGCCAGGGACGGTACACTTCCTTTGACGAACTGAAGCAGATTTTCCTCAACCACTTCATGATCCAGACGGACCGTTGTACTCTGCCGACGACCTGTACACGATTCGGCAAAGGGAGGACGAACCCCTACGGGAATACGCAGCGCGCTTCAGTCACGAGTACTCGAGGTGTCCCGAGACGGACGATAGGGCAGCCTACGGCGCCTTCAAGAGTGGCCTACGGTCCTCTCACTTCCGGTATCTCGTGCACAGTAGCAACTGGCGCACGTATGACGAGTTAATGAAGCAGGCGGCAGTCCATGCGAAGGCCGAATACTTCAACTCCAAACCCGGGCCTTCGGCTCGGAAGGAGGAATCGGCAGCCAAAAGTTATCCAGGCCGAACCGACGAACCGTCGGCAGGACACAAACGGAAGGACGACCGGGATACCGTCAGGGAAATTCAAAGAAAGGACGTGGGAAGTACGGTCGTAACGACCACCGGGCACCCCTACCGAATCACGATCGTGCTCAGGAAGTCTTCACCCTGCTGAACACGACGTACGAAACCGTTCTAATGAACGAACATGACCAGATCCCGAAGCCGACCAACCGGAAGCCCAATCGACAGGATAATCGGGACACTGGCAAATTCTGCCGATATCACCAGCAGAACAGCCACAATACCGAAGACTGCATCAGTTTGAGGAAAATTGTCGAGCGTCTGATTCGGGAAGGGAAAGTTGGATCAGTACCTCGCCAGGCCACACAGGCCCCCGGCACCGAACGCGAATCGGCAGATCAACATGATCAACACGATCAGCGGCGGCCCCACCCTGGCGGGACCCTCTAACCGTTCGATGAAGCAGTATGTGCGTGCCGCCCACTGCCCTCAGGTCTTCGGCATAGAGGACGATCGGTGCCGAAAGCTGCCGAAGGTGGGATGGGAGCCCATCACATTTAGTGAAGAAGAGGAGGAGGGGATCATCTACCCCCACGACAACCCAATGATCATTCGGGCCGAGATCGCCGACTACGATGTGGGTCGGGTGCTGATTGACACCGGAAGCTCGGTGAACGTGATCTTTGCCGATGCGTTCAAGGGACTGGGGATTGCCGACAGCATGGTCAATCGGCAAATCACGCATCTCCTCAGTTTTTCTGGAGATCTGGTCCAACCGGTCGGTAGCATCAGTCTGCCCATCGCCTTCGGCGTCGCCCCTAGGAAAACCATGACCTACGATCAATTCCTCATTGTTGACTGCCCAACGGCATACAACGTCATCATACGCACGGATCGTATTGCTGATGAAGTTCCCGACACGCAACGGTACCGGAGCCATCCGGGGCGATCAGCTCAGCGCACGGACGTGCTATGCCACGACCCTTAAGTCGGTAGCCAGCAAACCGCCAATGGAAGCCATGACTGAGGGACTACCGAACGGTACGAACTTGACGACCCCCGGGAGGAAAACCCAACGCCGATGGCACAGCCCGCCGAGGAGCTCAAGACCATAATCCTGAACGAGGAATTCCCCGATCGGTGGGTGAAGATCGGCACCAATCTGGACCCCGACCTCCGAAGGCAGTTCATCGACTTCTTACGGCAGCATGCGGAGGTCTTCGCCTGGTCTTATGACGATATGCCCGGCATATCACCCGATGTCATCACCCACAAGCTCAGCATCTCCCCCGCCCACAAACCAGTCAGGCAAAAGCGCCGATCGTACGATGCCGAACGGTATGAGGCGATGCGTGCCGAAGTTGACAAGCTCAAAGCCATCGGCTTTATCAGGGAAGCTACGTACCCTGTTTGGCTTGCCAACTCAGTCATGGTTCGGAAGGCCAGGGGAGGATGGCGAATGTGTCAGGACTATACCGACCTGAATAAGGCTTGTCCGAAGGACAGTTTCCCCTTACCGAGGATCGACCAGCTCGTCGATGCCACCGCCGGGCACGAGCTGCTCAGCTTCATGGACGCGTATTCAGGATACAACCAGATCTTCATGGACCCCTGCCGATAGAGAACATACGGCATTCATCACGGATCGCGGTTTGTACTGTTACAATGTCATGCCCTTCGGCCTGAAGAACGCGGGGGCAACTTACCAACGGCTCGTCAACCGGATTTTTGCTAAATACATCGGCGGCATCATGGAGGTATATGTCGACGACATGTTGGTAAAAAGCCGAACGGCAGGGGATCACCTGGAAAACTTGGCCCTCATGTTCGGTATTCTAAAGGACTACCGAATGCGGCTGAACCCGGCGAAGTGCGCCTTCGGTGTATCTTCCGGTAAAATTTCTCGGGTTCATGATCAGTCAAAGGGGAATCGAGGCCAATCCCGAGAAAATAAAAGCCATAATCGACATGGAGACGCCCGAAGACGCAGAAGGACATTCAGAGCCTTACCGGACGTGTCGCTGCCCTGACACGCTTCATCTCCAAGGCTACCGATAAATGCGTGCCGTTCTTCAAAGCTTTGAAAGGGGGCAAACATCATATAACGTGGACTCCCGAATGCGACCAGGCATTTCAAAACTTGAAGAACTACATGAGCCAGGCACCACTGTTATCAAAACCGCTGCCAGGCGAGGTACTACTCCTATACCTTTCGGTATCCAACACTGCCGTCAGCTCAGTGTTGATAAGGAAGCCGGAGAAGGCGGAGCTACCGATCTTTTATGTCAGCAAGGCGCTCCAGAGCGCAGAGCTTCGGTACCCACCCTTGGAGCAGCTAGCACTGGCCCTGGTCGTCTCGGCACGAAGACTTCGCCCCTTACTTCCAGGCTCACGAAATCACAGTTCTGACGAACCAGCCTCTTCGGCAGGTGCTCCAAAAGCCGGAAACATCGGGCCGATTGGTCAAATGGGCAATCGAGTTGGGAGAGTTTGACATACAGTTCAAGCCAAGGCCTGCAGAAAAAGGCCAGGCCGTTGCCGACTTCATCTCCGAGCTCACGCCTCCTGCTTTATCGGAACCATCATCGCCGAGCGTCGTCCCTACCGCACCAGAGAAAATGAATACCGAACGTTTCGACACTTCTGTTCCTCTCTGGATCCTGCACGTGGACGGCTCGGCAAACCAGCAAGGCTGTGGTGCCGGCTTAGTGTTAACCACTCCGGACGGTAGCAAAATCGAGTACGCCCCCGATTCAACTTCCGAACCTCCAATAACGAGGCAGAATATGAGGCCCTCCTGGCTGGCCTTCGGCTAGCCCAGAGCATGAGCGCGAGGCAGATCAGCATTCACAGCGACTCCCAGCTCATAGTAAATCAGATAACGGCAGACTTCGCAGCAAAGGATGCCTCCATGTCAGCCTACCTATCGGCAGCCCACCAACTACTACAAAAATTCCAGGCCTACGAGATACGGCAGATCCCCAGGTCGGAAAATAACCACGCCGACGCGCTCTCACGATTGGCCTCGGCCATAAATGACAAGATCGGAAGGAAGGTACCGGTGGAGATATTATCCCAACCGAGTACAACCGCCGCTGAGGTATGTACCGTTCGGTACGAAGACACATGGATGTCTCCAATCTATGCCTATCTGACAGCCGGAACCCTTCCCTACCGATAAGTCCCAAGCTCGGAAACTTCGCTACCGATCGGCAAGATACACAGTCATCAACGATGTTCTGTACAAACGGGGCTACACGACGCCGTATTTAAAATGCCTGACCAAGGAGCAGGGGGACTACATCCTTCGGGAGGTCCACAGCGGAATCTGCGGTGACCATTCTGGATCCCGATCGCTCGCACACAAGGTCTTCCGGCAGGGTTATTTCTGGCCGACTCTGCACCAGGATGCGAACACACTAGTCAAGAGGTGTGACAAATGCCAACGGTTCGGTAGTGTCCCTCATATTCCTGCCGAGCCACTGTCACCGATCGTGAGCCCGTGGCCGTTCGCTCAGTGGGGACTAGATCTAATTGGTCCGATGCCAGAAGGTAAGGGTCAGGTCAAATACGTTGTTGTTGCCGTAGACTACTTTACCAAATGGGTAGAAGCCAAAGCCCTAGCGACAATAACGGCAGCCAGAGTCGAGGATTTCGTCTGGACGAATATTTGCTGCCGATTCGGCATCCCCTACGCCATCGTCACGGATAACGGCAGGCAGTTTGATTCGGAAGTCTTTAGGGAATTCTGCACACGACTCAAGATCAACCTGTTCTTTGCTTCGCCAGCACACCCCCAATCGAACGGACAGGTCGAAGCCATGAACAAAATTGTCAAGAAGCTGTTGAAACGGCAGCTTGACAAAGCCAAAGGAGCCTGGCCGGAAAAGCTTCCGGAAGCGCTATGGGCCATCCGGACATCCTACCGAACGGCAACTGGGGAAACACCATTCTCTATGGCTTTCGGTTCAGAGGCAGTAGTCCCAGTAGAAATTGGAGAGCCCTCCTACCGAACGGAAACCTTCGCACCGAAGGCAAATGAGGAAGCACTCGCTTTGAGCCTCGACCTGCTCGAAGAACGCCGAGCACAAGCCAACCTTCGGAACGAAGCTTACAAGCAACGCGTCTCTCGGTACTATGACTCCAGGGTCAGATCCCGCTCTTTCCGAATCGGAGATTGGGTCATGCGGAAAGTCTCTTTGGCAACCAAGAATCCCACGGAAGGAACCCTCGGACCTTCCTGGGAGGGACCCTACGAAATCATCGGTATCCAGCGATCGGGGACTTATCGACTCAGAGACTCCAACGGAAAGACCCTCGGTCATCCTTGGAACGTAGAGCATTTGAAGTACTATTTCAAATGAAGTCATCTTGCCTACGGCAGGGTCACGGAGGAGTCACAAGAGCCTCCGGTATCTCTACAAGCACAGCCTTCGGCATTATAGCGTTTCCTAGCCAACGGCGGGTTCTAAATTGTAAAACGCACTCCCAATTGTACTCTTGCCTTCGGCAGTTTATCAATGAAAGGGCCTTCGGCTCATATATTCAGCACCTTTGTTGTACTTTCAATATCTCCATTTTTTGTTCAAAAAAAAAGGGGGTACGGTAGGGACCATCGGTCGCAGCAAACTACGCATTTTGGCATCGCCATTATCCTACCGATTAAGGGACAACTTAGTAGACTTTATTGGGCATTATAGGCTTTCGGTAATTACGGGCCATTGCTTTACAATCGGCAAGCACGACCATTGGTTTCAATCCCTAACACTTGGAACTTGTGCTTGAAAGGAAACGTCACTGGCCAACGGCCAATGACCTTTGTTTAAAGCCTTCGGCATTAAACAGAAAAATTTCCTAAAAACGCTACCGATTCAGAAGTAAGATGCAAGTAACTTAAAGTGAAAACATAACTTTAATAAAAACATGCCTACGACATTAGTTATCCAAACAAAGATGCCAACGGCATCAGAGTCGCAACAAAATTACAAAATGCCATCGGCATCAAAATTACATTAAGCAAAGGCTGGTGATCAGGATGAAGGACCCTCGGCATCCGCCCCTTCGGCACCAGCAGCTTCGGGCTCCTCCGCAGCGTCTTCTCCCTCGTACTCTTCGATCATTTCTTCCGTAACGCCTTCGGGAAGGGGAGGAGGATCGGCAATAAAGTTCAAGTTGAGCTTCGTCCCAGGATTGTACCGCTTGAATCGGTAGATGAGATCCACCATCTCCGAGCCCACCTCCTTGTCGAGCAAGGTAGAGAAATCGGTAGAGTGGCGATACTTCCGAATGGCCTCCTGGACGGCAGCCTCAATCTCCGACGCTTTGGCCCGCTCCGACTCCTCCAGAGCCACCTCAACGGCATCCTTTGCCTCCAGAGCCTCTTTTGGCCGACAGCTGTGCCGACTCCAGGGCAGACGACAGATCTGCGAACTTGGACTCATAAACCCTGACCTGCCGTTCGGCAGCTTGCAAATCCTTCACCAGGTTCGCATGGTCCTGGATAGCCTTGCCAGCCTCGGCAACCCTGGCCCTGCCGTCGTCATAGGCCTTCTTCGCCTTCTCAGCCGCATTGATGGCCCGCTTCATGCAAAGCCACATGTCCATCGAAGCCTGCAGAACAACGAGCATGTCAGCAAAGGTATAAAGATGATCGGTAATCTGGACCTGAAAATGTTCTGGACTTACCGATGCCTGAAGACGGAAGGCGCGACCCCGCCTCCTCTCGAAGGAGCCTCTTCGGCAGCTCCTCGATCTCGTTCAGCTCCATTTGCGAACCAATGATCATGTGGTTCGCGAACTGGACCGTCTTCGACGGACAGGCCAGGGTGACGGGATCGGCAGGCTCCTCGTCATTTTCAGCGGCAAAGATGGCCCGAGTTGGCTCGGCCTGCCGTCCGCGTTTTGGGGCCGGTTCGGCATCTAGATCGACGGTGAAAGGGCCGTTTGCCGGCGGCTCGGGAGGAAGTCCCCTTCGGTAGTGGCGCCTCGGCGGGGAGAAGGGCGGCCGCTGCCGCTCCGGCCTGTGCCGATTCGGCGTTAAGCTCACGGAGACGGTCGGCCAGTGTCTGGTCCTCTGGGTCGACCGATGCCGAGCCCTTGCGGCTGGGTTTTCTTCTTCTTCCCCTGGAAGCCCATCATGAGACGGCGCTTGGAGGACTCGTTCATCCTCTTGGCCTCGGCAGCTCTCCTGTCTTCCGTCACTGCGAGAAAAGGGTTCGGTAAGACCCGCAACAGAACAAAAGAAACGATTCGTAAATACGAAGTGTACTTACTCTCGGCAGGATCGATCAGTTGGGCCCGGATCAGATTGTTGGTGAAGAGGAACTGCGGATACACTCTCTCCTCGGCAGGGACTTTCCTCCTCACTCTCTCCACCTGCTGAATCTCGGCCTGTGTTGCGATCGGCTGCTTCAGCTTACCTACAAAAGAAGAGAAAGGAAGGTCACTTACGGTAGACAGATAACTCAGAGAAGGTACCGAACGGCACGTGGTCCTACCGGCCATTTGGAAGGTTGTGGGAATGCGAAATCGGACAGGCTGTCCCGAAGGCGACTCCCAGTCGCCCGAGAGGAGCACCCGCCGATTCCTCCACGACTTCTGTGAAGTCGGTACCCAGCTGACAAAGTGGCCTCGATCGGCAGCCCTGAGGCAGTTCGCCTGCACCCATCCACCGTGGTCGGCACACTTGGACTTGGTGACACTGTAGAGATGGGAGAACTGCTCATAGGAGGGGCTCCCTTCGCCAGCCATGCCGAAGGCCGTTATCACTCCCATGAGGGCCACCCAGAAATTGGGGTTGAATTGCCCCGGGGCGTAGCCGATCTGGGCTAGAATCCTCTGCACCGCCGGCTGCAACGGCAACCGAACGCCTTGCACAAGGACGTCGGTAAAGAAAACTATTTCGCCGTCCTTCGGCGCACTGAGGGATTCGGTAGGACCCGGGATCCTCATCCGTACCGAGTCGGGAATGTGGTACTCTGCTCGAAAGCTTGGCGATCTCCCGATCGGTAATCTTGTTCGGCCCAAGATAGTCCACGCCGAATAAGTTTTCCTTCGGCACCCCCATGGGCACCCTGGGATTGCTTGGGTACACTACCGATACCCTGGGCCCAGATGGCGGATTGGCTACCGACTCTCCACGACCGGAAGTGGAGGCGTCCGATTGACGGCTACCGCTCGCCTCCCCGGCATACCGAGGCCCACGTGGCGGCCGTCACTGTAGACGATGGACAACGGGACGGGAGCGGTCATTAGCCCCTTTCCGACTCCGTGTGTTGGAATGAGCTGGGCCCTTCGCCGAGTATCTCGACGTCGGTATCACTCCCGCCCTCGGCATCAGGGCCCTGCCGCTTCACCGTCGGAGTCAAAGAGACCGTCCGATGACTCCTCGTCGAACGCGTTGGGCTCGCGCTCGGAAAATGACTCGCTATCAGACATCTACAAAAACAGGAAGAAGGGAAACTAAGGCTCATGCCGGATGCTATCCTACCGATTCCTACATCGCTACCTATGGCGACTAGACTACCGAATGGGAACCCTATGGTCAGTCTAGTTCGAACCAAGGAAGGACGTAACCCTTAAAAAGCATGTAAAGAGAAGGGTGCCGAACGGTACCTTAGGGTGTGCCCTGGAAGATAAGCGCTATCTGCTCTTCTGGATGCTTCACTACCGTTCGCAATGCCGGGAATCGCCTCTCCTACAGTTCGAATCGCCGGAGATCGCCTGGTTACCGTTAACACTCACCGGAAATCGCCTGTTACCGAAAGCCCTCGTCGGAAATCGCCTCAGACAGAGCTCTCACTTCTCACTAGACGCAAAGTGAGTACGCCTCCGGGGTCATCTCTATTTATAGGGGAAATGGCTGGCAACGGTACTCCTCGAAAAACCAAACGACGCATTAATGCGCCGCGCGCCATCATTACTTTCGCCACGTGTCACTCACCCAATGGAGAACTGACGGCACGCGATGCGCGGAAATCGAAGCGCTCAGACGTCTCTTCGCCCGTCAGATCGACGCGACCTTCTGACTTCACCAACGTCAGCCTCTGAGCTGGTCATGCCGGAAGGAACAAGGTTTTGCCCCTCCCCCAGTGGGGTTACCGAACGGTAAGGCCGTGTTTCCTCCCGAGGACGAATTCAAATCCCCTTCCGAAGACTCTCGCAAGGGGACTTGGGGGACTCCTGTTTATACCAAAATGAACACCCAATGAACATCAACCACGTGGACTAGGCCAGGGCTACGTGTGCCTTCGGCACTCACCTTCGGTACTGTACCTACCGATCACAACATTAGGGCAACCTTGCCCACTCTGGCACGTGGCAGCTCCACGATTGACGCCCAGAGTCCCACATCGAAACTCTAAACAAATTGCACACCTCCCAAGGCCTATAAAAGAGGACACCTATCCCAGCCTGAAGGTAATCAATCAGAACTTACGGCATACTGCCTATTGATCTGCAGTTAAAACTTACTAAATCCGTACTTACTTAAGCATCGGAGAGCCTTCGGCCGGTACCACACGGTGCCCTAGGATTTACCGTGTGTTTGCTATCTTACAGATCGCACACCCTACCGAGGACATCAGATACCGAAGAGACTTAATCACTAAGTTGCGCGGGGAAAGTGCAGAACCATTTTTCTGCGTCAACAAAATTAGTAGTTCATTTTAATCGTACTTCCACTCCAAACTCATCAAAATGACAAAATGATTTTTAACATAACCAATATCCCGTGATTAAGAGTTAAAACAAACTAGATTAGCACTAATTGGTATATTAATGTTGAACTTCTCGATGATCCCATTTCTTCACATATAGAATATAATTAAAACCGAACTCTCTTACAATCTTATAAAAAACAAAGCAATCTTTTGATATGCACGACTAAACTTCTTAGTTATTTTAATAAAAGAGCGATAGTATTTTATTGACAAGAAAACAAGTACAAAGCAACTAAAGTACTGAATATGGTTAAGCAATAAGTAGTTGAACTAAACTTCATATAAGCATATGTTGATTGTGTCGTTTTATCCAACCTAGTTCAATCCCCTGGCTAAAATCTCATCCCACAAGATTGCCGAATAAACTTGAGGTCCAAATAAAAGATAAGATACGCGGCTTTGTGAACCGTGATTTCCCCAAAAGACAAGAGGAGCCCATACCTGCTACCAAACAAGCTGAAGTTGCTGGGAGACAAGTGGACAAGCGTGGATGTGGATCCATATAAGCCAACCAAAATCGATAATTTCTATTTGCAGAAAAAGTAAACGTATTGATTGTGTGTCACCAAATTATTAATTATGGTAATTAGCATCACTAAATTATTGATGCTTCAGTAAATCATTATCTTAATAGATGCAGTGGATTTGTCATTGTCACTAATGGATCCAAATTACTTATATTTTATTCGATGGCGTCCAAATAAACAACTGTGTATTAGTAGTTTGTTGATATCCATATTTTATAATTCTAACATCAACTTCCATATGTATATTTCACACTTATATATAATAATATAACTTTAAAAAAAATTCAAACAATTATATAATTATATTCCATTGTTGAAAACTAAACAAGCTTAGTTCATGACCTAATCAAGCTAATTAGCATTTAAAAAAGCTAACAACTCCTTTAATTAAGATACTTCCCGAGGCAGTGACCCATTAGCCTCTGTAAAAAGCCTGTCACTTGTTATAACAAACAACAACAGTGACCTTGTGACGAAGGTTGCTCAATAATTTCAGGTAAAAAATTGGGATTACCTTTTTCTAATGCCTCATGGGCTGTCCGCACTTACTTTTTTGCGTTCCATTTTCGTCTCTGGCACGGTAATATCATGTGGCATATGTTATATGTGTTTTTATAAGTTCATTCAAATATAACATTTATAAAATTGAAAAATTGCATGCGTACTCATTACCAAATATTTGGCTATAAACTCTAAAAATTATACTTGTGTTATAATATAGGTTTATGAGAAAATCTGATGTCTCATGAGGAGTATATTACTTTCTCCACAACACTTATTATGTGACCATGTTATGTGACAAGTGCTATAAACAAAGGATATATCCCAGATTGCAAGTAATATTCTCTCATAGACATAAATTCTATGTGCGATATTGTCGAAAATGTATCGATAACATGTTGACATATTTATTGTCGAAATTAATATCGACACATTATAAATGATATATCAACAATTCATTTTAATAAAGAATGGACGTCTAAATTATAGTTGGACTTCTCTATTGAATTCATAATTCCACACATGTCACGTCATGTTACTGACACCGTACCTAAGTAAGTAGTAAAAATAAAGAATAAAAGAAGAGAACAAACAAGTTCCAAGTTGTAGACTTATTTGGCAGTTGATTGCAACAGATGATTATTCCCCGGAATACTTTATCCACTATATTCACTCTCTGGTCTCAACTGCAAGTTGTAAAAAAACTTAAAAAACAACTAATGGATTCCATGGAATCACACCAACCCTGCAGATTATTACCATTACTGAATCCTTCTCTTCCTCTCAAAACCTTTCTTCCTAGAGAGAACTTTCCCAGAAAACGGAAGAAAAATCACTGCTTTCCCAGAAAATGGTCGAGCCAGAAGAGGAAAGCCGAACTCAAGCCATTCCGCCAAAGTCAAAGAACATAGTGGACGACAGAGAAGCTGCGCTCATGGAGTTTGATCTTGACCTCGATGCTTTTTGGCCGTTGGATCCGATTCACTTTCCTTCTAAGCCCACGTCCCCTCCTTTGTTCTCGTCCACTGACCAGCCCTGTTCTCCTTCATGGGGTTTCCTGATGGTGATGCTGATAATGATGATAAGCTCGCTGGACAAGTTGATCAAGCTCTTTCTGACTGTCCTCAATTCAGTTCCTGTGAGTTTTTCATATTGGGTTGTGTTCTTTTGTTTTTTCTTTTTGGGTCGATCAGTTTTCTCTGTCTTACCATTGAATATGGTTTTTCTGAATCATAGAAGTTTGTGTGTTCACTGTGATAATCATAGAACTCAGCTGAACAAATGCTTTCCTGGGCAGTGTTCGAAAAATCGGCCTAGGCGGCTAGGCGGTCGTGTCCTTTTAAAAAAAAAATTATATAAATAGATTTTTTTTCCTGACGTTAAACATTATTTGGTATTGAGCAATAAAATTGTACTCTTCGAATTAAACAAGGGTCAAAAAGTGTTTCCTTTACTCGTTTCTCAATTCTCTGCAACTAAAGAGACTATACCCTGTTATACTGAAAAGGTTGCATTTTTACATTCCTGCTGGGCCAGGAATTGAATTCGGAGACCTTGGTTCCTCTGAAATGAGTTCTCCTTGTTCATTTATCTTCTATCTGGTCTGAATATTCTTAGAATTTGAAGTCAACCATCTAAAAAATAAAAATTTCATGGGAACTTTTGTCTTTTTGGCCTGAAATTCCTAGGAATTGAAAACACATTTCATTGGCTTAACATATTGCTTCAGTTAGCATTTTGCAGTTGTTGAGTAGCAGTCAGGAGGTTCACTCATTTGAGTTTTCTCTCATATAATATCACAAAAATGCAGGTATTCCTGATCCAGGAAGGGAAATACCAAGAGAGAATGAGGACAGAAGAATGCTTACATCCCCCTTTTTGGGACTGGAACTTGTTGAAAATCCTGATGCTTATTGCTTAATTAAAGAGAAGATCACTCAAGCTCTGAGACAGCTCAAGGAATTGACTGACCAACATGTTCTAGCTCAGGTTGGGCACCAGTGAAGAATGGGGGTCGGTATGTGCTCACAACTTCAGGGCAACCCTTTGTTCTTGATCCTCATACTAATGGACTTCATCAATATAGGATAGCTTCTCTGATGTATATGTTTTCTGTGGATGGAGAGAGTGATGGAATGCTTGGGCTCCCTGGCCGTGTTTTCCAACAAAAATTGCCAGAATGGACCCCAAATGTTCAATACTA